AGTTTCTGAATTAAGTTTCCCTTGGATTTTTCCACAGCAGCTCTGTAGTGGGACCTGGCAACTCTAAGAGCAATGAGAGCATTGTTGTACAAATCTCCTGTTACGTTATGTTTTTTAATAGTGTTTAATTTTCTACGAGCTTTCCGGTAGCTTCTACGTAGTTCGGCTAATCTATCATTCCACCAATCACATCTACGAGTGTTAGTGATAGATCCGCGACCAATAGTTACATCAGCGCAGTATGTAAAAGTTTCTGATAGTATTTCTGCGCTTTCCTCAGCTGATAAACTACTGCGACTGAAGTCTTTGGTATGAGTTGCAAAGAGTGAACCAAACAAAGCCCAGTTCGCACCTTTAGTTTTTATATCTAAAATTATAGGGAGCCTTTTGTGATCCTGTGCAACCCTTGGTATGAATTCGTACACGATCAAGCGGTGATCACTACAGGATGCGTCCGGAAGGACACGCCATCCGGATATCGAGACGTCGCCGCGCGTAAGCGTCACGTCAATAGAAGACTCACCCATTGGGTTGCAAAAAGTTGGTGGTGCATCGGGGGTATTGTGAATAATAAGATTCATTTCCGCAATGAAATCTTCAACCGCACAACGTCGAACCGTGTCGGTTGAACGCAACTTGCCATACCATAATGAAGATGACGCATTGACATCAGCGCCAATGATAATTTTATGTCCCACGAGGAACTGCAAGACGTAACGTAAGTGATGTAAGTGAGGATCAATAGGATGTGAATATTGAAAATAGCAGCTCACTACGTAAACCTTACAGGTAGAGGATGAGATCTCAGCAACGGCGCAGTGTGACGTCATAAGATTACGCAAAGATGTTACCGTAAAATTAGAACTTGCAACATATATCCCAGCCTGCGAACGGCAGTCAAGCTGTACTACATTACGACGCAAGTGAGCGCTCTGATATTGTTCTTGTAAAAGGACAATGTCTAACTTTTGTTCTAAAATTAAACGGTCTAATTCTGATGTAGCTATTTTATCGTTATGAAGATTTAACTGGCCTATCGAAATATTATTCATTACTTAGTAAGTTACTCTTTAAACTTTTTTTTTTTTTTTTTTTTTTTTTTAAACTAAGTTAAACTATTCAGTAATTGGTATTTAATATTAGCTGTTCCAGTTTTAATTTGTATGTGGCACAGTCGTATGAGCCGCATCGATGGTCAGATGGTTTTTTGAACCGCTTACACTGTGCGCACGTGGGCTTAAAATCTGGTGTGTCTTTATCTGGACAAGCTCGCGTTTCGTGTGCGGCGGCGCAATTAGCACAAGTAGGGGTTTTAATGGTGCAAAACTTTTGTACATGACCGAATTGCTGACAATTTAAGCAACGAACTACTTCTATATCGTCTATGAATCTACATGTGGCCCAGTCTATATAAAGTTTATCTTTTGTGTTGGCTAGATGTTTCCGAACTGCTGCCTCTAATTCTAAGCCTATCCATTGACGCCCATTTTCTAGTTTACGATGCCTAACAATTTTGGCTGACTTAATAAAATCGTTCTCACTTAATTTTAATTCGTCCTTGATATTCTGACGGTATAAGGCTGTTAGGAAGGCACGATCTTCCATAGAACCGGGTACGTCTTTTACAATTATACGGGGCCTACGGCCTTTCGGTTTTTCTAAGCGCAACCCTACTGATTTAATGGCGTCCACAGATTCCAGTTTCTTAAGCTGCCGTTCGTTAGCTACACGTAACACGACGCCTGCCTTAGAGGTTTTTTTAACGCCTACAATTTGAAATCCCTCATCGCTCGGTTTAATAGCCTTCATGAGAGCTTGTTTTGTTGCTGACGAGGTCGCATAGTCCGCTAGGCGTTCCGTAGTGGGATAGGCAATGACACAAGGCCTAGGAACGCGCGCTTCAGTAGGTACCGGGCACGGAGCAGATTTAGGTGGTAATCGAAGCTTAAGTTTGTCCGCGTACGTTAAACTCGTTTGTTGAGTTGCGATACCCTCCATTTGTCGCTCAAAATTCGCTAACTTCGTTTCGTTGCTAGAGGATTTTATTGCTAACAAAGATACGATACCGGTAATTCGTTGAGTAATATCCATAATCGCCGTTTTATTACCTACATTCATCCGAGATCCCTGATCATTAACTAATTCATTAATTTTTGCTAAATAATCAGTGGCCTGTGATACTAAGTCACAGTAGTTGTACTCCCCACAGTTATCACGACCAGTAGGAGACGAAACATTACTACTTAAGTCCGAATTAATAACGCGCCTACGGCTACTGTCTTTCGGCGAGAAACCAGTAGGTGACATTTCGATAAATGTCCTTTTCCCGGTTGGTGTTAGAAATTCACTTGTACCGCCGGGGTCCGGCAACTCGCTAACGACCGACATAGCCAAACAAAGACACACCAAACAACAATTTCAAAAGGAACAGGTTTAAAAATAAATAACACGCAGAGAAAAATCAATATAAACAAAGGATACCTCCTACCCACTTTTAGAAAGAAAATAAATTTACTCACCAATAGTCGTAATAAAATAATTCAGCACTATATTACTGTTTAAAAACAATAAAAACTTACTGACTTTCTTTAAAACACTATACACAACCTTTAGCCGCCCGCAAGCCGAAAACTAGTCGCAGAAAAAACAGAAAACAATATTTAAATTGTTAGCACATGAAGTCACACGTTAGTCGCACGGTGCCACAGCACAACAACAGCTGTTCCCGGATCCCTCCTGTTACAGGCGCAGAGTGGCACACCGTGTGGTTTTAGTCGGTCCGAGTCCGACACACCACCCCGCCGCAAACCCCGGAGGGGTGACGGTCCGAGGGGATTTCCACACGTTAAAAAAAAAAAAAAAAGGGTTTTGTGTCTAGTTTTCCTTCTCTTTGCAGTGGCAGGACAACAGCTACGTAGTTTGCAGCCTTAATCGGCTCTTACGACACCCACGGGATGAATAGGGGTTGTGACATTCCGTATTCTTAATCCGAATTTTTTAATATTAGAACTGAAAACTTTGCGAGTCAAATTTATTAAGAATACAATACACAATAGGTTTTGCTCACGTGGGTATTTCTATCAGTCTGTCGTGTGTCTGTAAGCAACGAGGTAGGACCTACAGTCCTTGCATCAAGTTATTATCATAGGCGCAGTTTACTGCATCGGCTTTTTGAATTAACACAAAATTGCAAAACTGTTAAGTCAACTCAAAATGTCTTCAGATACGACAAACGGTATCTTTTTTGAATGAATGCGCAAACCTGTGCCTTTTGTGGGTTAAAATAGACTCTAGTCTATTTTAACCCACAAAAGGCACAGGTATCAGATTAGGTATCAGATTCGACCCCAATCTGATACCTCCAATAAGAAAGTTTCAATTTCAGACACAACTTTGTTTCGGCTCTTGATGACGTTTTCCTGAGAAATATTGGGGCGGCCGGTATAAAAGGCATCTCCCGTGCTATCATCTGCATAGCAATGGATGCTACTAGTTTGGAGCACGTCATTGATATGCACAAGAAATAGTGTGGGTGTAGCACACAGCCTTGCGGGACACCAGCATTTACGGATTTCATGACGGAGCATGCACCGTCGATAACGTGCTTAATGCTACTGTCTGCAAGGAAACTGGTGACCAAGTCACATAATAAGGTGAAGAACTATAAATCATTTGCAATTATGAAAAACGAACGTAAACATTTTATGGGTATGAAATAATGAATGAATGCTATTGTTGATGGATAAAGCTATGATTCATTTAAAGCAGTTAGATAACATTTTATTATATTATGCTTCAAATCATGTCATTTACATGGTCAATATTTAATAATATATTGTTTTATGTAACTAACTGTACTGTGTCACAGAGCAATAATAAACACAAATTATCAATAATATCGATATTAAACCACACTTTTTGTTGTACCAGTGTAGTAATCTAAACTGACCATTTGAAAATCTTAGAAGTATTAAAAATCGAATTATTTCTGAAGTTGAATAAAATCCAAGGCTCAGACCATTCTTAGCTTGAGCAAGCCCTTCAAATACTTCACAATTAAATCCATAATCAATATCAAGTTAAAGTACAGTAACTTAATATATGGTCAAGTTACACAGCCAATAAGTACGGTTATCGATATGTAACCTTGCGCTTAACCAATGTTCATTTCCTACAATTACTTTCTAAGTAATAATTAAGTATCTATTTTATGACCTTTAAATACTATCGATTTATTGTTTTTATTGATGTTGTAATTTATAGGTAGGTACTATTAGAATCGTAGAAGGGGGGAATATCGTTGTTCGAAAATTCGAAGGCTTCCTATGAGAAAAAAGTTTATGATCATCGATTTTCTTCTAGTTTTTCTAATGTTTATATGAATACTTTACGAGTTTTTGAGAAATTTTTTGGTCTCTAGTGTAAAATTGGATATTTTTAAATGCAACAAAATTGTTTCCTACCGTCGACATGTCGACAGATACTAATAAAAATGTTAATATTTCTCATGTATTGGTTTGGTAATAATAACGTTCCAATCATGCGCAATGTAGGTGGTATATTTATATTTGGTTTATATTATTCCCACATTCCCACTGATGTGATACAATCACATTAGAATCAGCAGTGGAGTGGACTATGACACTTTGAGAGTTTATGGTAAAGTTTAATTTCTTGCAGAATGATTCGGACGCTATCTCAGATTGTGATTTCCGAACGAACAAAATACAATTGACTGCACGGATAGCGTAGTACAACGCGTACAACGTTGAGTGTTGTGGGCCCGATCCCCACATGGGACGACACTTTGTGTGATCCACAAATTGTTGTTCTGGGTGTCTTTGTGTCCGTTTCATGTATGTTTGTAAAATGTAACTCACTATGACATATTTAAGTATCACATTGTTTGAGATAGAAATTTTGACGTTATAAAAACGATTGCTTAACATTATTACCATGTTATAATATCGAAGTTAGATAATAAAACTATCAACTAAAACTCACCGATTTTCTCCAGGAGTCAGTTTATTGTTCTCAACAATAGCAGTAGCCCTGATCCTATGATCAGGCTGCTCTCCAATCAACTTCTCACTTCTGCCGTTGTTGAGATGTTCCCTAGCCACACTGTACGCGTCACTAATATCTCTTTCTCCACTATCACTTTCACACTGCACTATTATCTTTTCACTGACTTTAACGTCACCTTCGTGTTTCTCTGGCTCGATTTTATCTTCTTCTTTGGTCACTTCTTTTTTTTTATTGATGCCATTGGCTATGAGAGGGGCTGGTTTGGCTTGGAGGGACTTTGGCAGGGCTTTCGGGGAGGAGATGGTCGGCTTGCTCTCAATGGCACCGTTCTCGTTGATGGAAGTGACGTAAACCGTGGAGTTGGCGATGTATCCGTTTAACTCTTGTCTGTTTTCTGGTTGAGTTCTTTTTCGACGATTCAGCTGAAATTAAGGATAAGATTAATTAGATGATTAAATGGTAATAAGCTAATCGTATGGGACTTGGGAGACTTCACGATATTAAAAAAATATATAGTTACATCATAACTCTTTAAAATAAATTTTAATAATAATAAAATCTTGAATGGAGAGTGTACTGTGTATGTAAACGCACAAATATTACCAAATACATTTTGTTATAGGTATATTATGTACAGTATGGATAAATTACTGTATATGTAATTAATTATTTTCTACGCAATAAATAAGTTTAACCTATTTGAATTTTACAAACAATCTTTAAAGTGGTTTTATATCGTGTCAAAATTGGAGCTCAATCGGTGTAAGCTTATTGAATTTTTGATGCGTACACAAACCACCTTATCATTTTATGTAATTACTAGCTTTTGCCTGCGGCTCCGCCCGCGTGTATGTCGGTTATTGCGGTAAAAAGCCTATGTTACTCCCGGATATTGTAGCTTTCCATTGCTAAAAGAATTTTTAAGATCAGTTCAGTGGTTCAGGCGTGAAAGCGCAATAAACAAACTCACTTTCACATTTGTCACATAAGTATGAAAATAGATTAATGAAGAACCTACTCCGAGTAAAAATTTCGTGTGCAAACTTTAGCACCTACTATACACATTTCTAAAAATATAATGAGATAACACTCAATAGTTTTTTATATTTTTAACATATGTGAACAACAACTGCAGTGAGTGGCAACCTCAATTAGCGATAAAAACATCACTCGAGTGTGCACACATTTTTCGTGAAAGGCTACAAGTGGGTGCATTAAATGTCGCTAGTTCGAAGTGCCAATTATACGAGTATTGCTATGCAAAAAAAAATTTTTTTTTAACATATCCTCTTTCGTGATGTGTTAAAGCGTGTGTGTTCGTGAAATGTTTAATAAAACTCTGCATTTTAATATTTCATTAAACGAAAATATCTTGCGATACATTTGTTTGACGGCAAAAAAAATATACAAACTTTTTTAATGATTCAACGAGACGGGTCACCTATTGGAGACTGACTAACGCCATGTCCATGGCCTGATGTGATGACCTTCTTCCTCCGAGTCTTTTTATCGAACTAGGTTGGAGTCAGTTTATGTCTAATAGGATACGGCTGAACTTCAAATTTCACATGGAACGACTCCCATTGAACTTCCACAACCCAAGTTCGAATTTTTCAGGGCTCCATCAACCATCATCAACAGCCTACGAGTATAACAGTCCACTGCTGGACATAGGCCTCTCCTTAGATGGGCACGCCGTCATTGCGGCGGTAAGACCCGTTATGGAGGATTGGCTCGAGAGGCGTCACGGGACCCTCTCATACCGATTGACGCAGGTGATCACTGGGAAGGGATGTTTCGGAGATCACCTGTGTCTGATCCGCAAGGAGCCAACGCCTGAGTGCCACCACTGCGATGGCCAGACCGTGGACACGGCTCTCCACACGCTGGCAGAGTGCCCGGCGTGGGTTGAGCAGAGGCGAGACCTCGTGGCGGCCATCGGAGTGGGAGTTCTCTCGCTCGATAGCCTGATTGCGGCTATCGTGCGGAGCGAGAGTGCGTGGAACTCTGCCGTCTCCTTCTGCGAGCAAGTTATGCTCGCGAAGGAGACGGCGGAGCGGGACCGGGAGAGGTTTAGAACTCTCCCGGCCCGCCAGGCCCGGGCACGGGCCAGGCAGCGCAGGCGACTCAGGCGCCGGAGGTCGCAGAACGACCTCCGTCCTCCATAAGCGCAGGCCTGGGGGTGACAGGTGAGGCCATCTGTCACCCTAGCAGAAGCAGGCCGGGGTGGCGGCGAGCGCGTTGCGAAGCGCGCTCGCTTTCAGGGAGCACAGGGAACATGGGGTTCCCACACGGGGCGGGGGTCGTCTACTCGTCTGTAGATGACCCGAGGTATGTCGGGGCACCAGGGCCTTCCTTTCTAGGGTATACCTGGTTCCCCGGCTATTAGTACCCGGCGAAGGCGTGCGGTTTTAGTCGGTTCGTGTCCGACATGCCACCGATAGGTGGTATCCGAGGGGATTTCCGCACGGAAAAAAAAAAAAAAAAAAAAAGGCCTCTCCTTAGAAATGAGGTTTTGGCCTACTATACCACGCTGGCCAGACGGGTTGGTATAGGGTTTGTTTCAAGTTTTCCTTCTTTTTGCAGTGCTGTTGTCCTGCGTAGTTTGCTCCCTTAGCCGGCTTTTACGACACCCACGGGATGAATAGGGGTGGTGACATTCCGTATTCTTAATCCGTCACCACACGGACATTTTAGGCTCCAACTAGCCGTAACGATTGCCACAGATTTTCGTATGGTAACCAGGACCGACGGCTTAACGTGCTCTCCGAGGCAGGGAGGAGTCTCAATCATCCATAGACTGACCTGGCTAGGATCGCTTAACTTTGTAAAGTGTTAACCTAGTCAGCTACCACTGAGCCACGAATATACTGGCTTACCTATTGATTGTTATAATATTTTTACTTACAGATTTATTCACGTTCGAAATCTAGTGACTTTGCGACTTTAGAAATGTGTGGTTCCTAAATGCTACGGAATTTGGATTTGTTTTGGTTTTTTTTTGTGATGCATATTGTTATAAACGGTAACCATAGCAAAAATAGGATCCACATTCTTCCTTATAAAGGAATTAAAAAAAACCCTGAAACAACAAAAAACTAAATTTCTTAATTCTTTTTAGGCAAAAAATATTGAGGTTTTTTTTTGTTGCAAGCACTCATGTTTGTTAATATAATTACATGTCCTATAAGCAATAAAAAGTGTTATTTTTTAAAGTAAAAATATTTTTATATTTTCTATAGAAATACTTTAATGTCAAATATCTTACGTTTGAATCTAAATTGTCGCACGGGAGTTCTCCTCTTCCATTGAAAACTATGCCGTTTATTAAAATAGGCTGTCCATTATTTCGGTCAAAAGCCATAATGTGGCACGGGATGAATAGGGATGATGACACTCCCTATTCTTAATCCTTCACCAGACGGAACTACATATAACTACCTAGGTGATATCAATTGAATTCCGATACCGAGCTAGCATTACTAACCCAAATAGCGTAATTTCGCTGAATCATAGACTGGAGATGGAATAATTGTACGCAGCAACCGTGAGCCTCGGCTACCATCTAATCAACATCTATAGTAAATTAATTGGTTTTAGAATATTGCACCAATTACCTGTAAGTGAATTCATGGCTTGGAAATTGGTGAACAATATCGATTGTCTAAATTTTGCCCACGGGTCTCCCCGCGTTTATATCGGTTATCGCGATAATACACTTGTTGTGCAGTACACACACACACACACACACACACACACACACACACGCACACGCGCAATACATTTATTTTCACCTACCACAGAAGAGAAACAAGTTAATTCTGTTTCTTCAGTTGCAAATGTGCATGGACATTGCCTTTGAGTGCGTTTAGAATAAGGGGGTTAGAGATTCTTCTCCGATAACCTCTCTCACTCAAATTGCTTTATTTGTTGTGTGTGTGAGTTTAATCCATTAATTTATGTGTTAATAGCGATCCGTCGCACGGGTGCAATGTAGATACTACTAATACTGCTATTGTGGTGTCAGTATGGAGTAATAAATTTTACTATTATTATGATAGGACTATACTACAGGATATCCGTGTGGTGACGGATTAAGAATACTGAGTGTCACCTCCCCTATTCATCCCGTGGGTGTCGTAAGAGCCGACTGAGGGAATAAACAGCGCAGGACAACAGCACTGCAAAGAGAAGGAAAACTTGAAACACACCCTTTTTTTTTTTAACGTGTGGAAATCCCCTCGGACCGTCACCCCACCGGGGTTTGCGGCGGGGTGGTGTATCGGACTCGGACCGACTAAAACCACACGGTGTGCCACTCTGCGCCTGTAACAGGAGGGATCCGGGAACACACCCTATACCAACCCATCTGGCCAGCGTGGTATAGTAGGCCAAAACCTCCTTTCTAAGGAAAGGCCTATGTCCAGCAGTGGACTAGTAGAGGCTGTTGATGATACTACAGGACATCTTTATATGCAATATTTATAGGCCCGCTCCGATCCTGAGTCCTGCGAAGTACGTACGTAACGGCCCAATTGTAATCCACATTAAATGCACAACGTATTTAACGTATTGAATTGGATAAGAAATAATAATGTATTGTTTCAAATAGCTTCGTAAATAACCCATTATTTCTTTGCAATATTTAAAAGATAAAAATGGTTACTCTTTTTTTTTTTTTTAACGTGTGGAAATCCCCTCGGACCGTCACCCTACCGGGGTTTGCGGCGGGGTGGTGTGTCGGACTCGGACCGACTAAAACCACACGGTGTGCCACTCTGCGCCTGTCCTTGGCGTTACTCTGGGTAAAATGGTTACTCTGGGTTATCCTTTAGAGATAGACATATACCATCGACTTTTTTGTATATCTTTTTAAGATGTCTTGTCGTAAGGTTTAACCAGGGTTTGCAATGTAAGCGAACAAAAACATGTCTTTACGACAAATCTTTAAAATTTTTGCATTTTGTTGACTATAATATGCATGTACTAGCTGACCCGCGCAACTTCGTCTGCGTCTCTCAATAGTAATAAATTTTCTCCGTTTTTGAAACATTCTTCATTGGTGCTCCGCTGCTATTTGATATATAGCCTAAAGCCTTCCTCGATAAATGGGCTATCTAACACTAAAAGAATTATTCAAATCGGACCAGTAGTTCCTGAGATTAGCGCGTTCAAACAAACAAACAAACTCTTCAGCTTTATAATATTAGTATAGATTATACATATAAATCTTCGTCTTGAATCTCTCTCTCTGTTGGTGAACCGCAATAAAATCCGATGCTTATTTCAAAGACTTTATTTTATACTATGTAAAGATATGTATTAAGTACTCATAGCATATGAAAAGGTATGTTTATCAGTATTCTGGTAACGTATATATTATATAGTTTTATGATAGCAGTTGATTAGGTTTCAGGTTATTATTATTACTGCACCAGGGCCTTCCTTTCTGCACCAGGGCCTTCCTTTCTAGGGTATACCTGGTTCCCCGGCAATTAGTACCCGGCGAAGGCGTGCGGTTTTAGTCGGTTCGTGTCCGACATGCCACCGACAGGTGGTATCCGAGGGGATTTCCGCACGGAAAAAAAAAAAAAAAAAAAAAAAAAAAAAAAAAAAAAAAAAGGTTATTATTATTACTACTAAATCACTGTATAGATTTTTTAATGATAAAAGATAATTAAAATACTCGATCCCTTAATGATGTTTGGAAGATTTTATCGTATTAATCGTATCATAAACTTTTAGCTATAATTTATTTATACACTATAAAAAAGGAAAAGAGCAGTCGGTCAGGTTTCAAATGCGACTTATTTTGTACTTTATTAGTACATTTATTTAGAGACTAGATACTCCCACCAGGTGACTGAAAGTAATCAAGATAAATCAGTAGGAGTCCTGACCAAGCGCCTGGCAACAGACCTCATAGTCCTGGACCTCGCAGGGCGAGCAAAGTTGGGAAAACTGGGACCACTGTAACGTTATGATCATTATTTGCCCGCCCTTCTACAAACGGAGGCCCTTCTCCAAATGTGTTTTTTCACGTTATAGGGCGCAGATGGAAAGTGGTGATGGCAATTCATGGTAAGTGGCTACTGTCATCCATGGATAAACAAATGCAGCTCAAGAGACACAAGTACTTTGCCCCATTATGTGGGAAGGGACAGCTTTTGTGTAGCGGTGGGTGTTTGGGCTCCGATAACCTCGCTCCCTCGGGGAAAATATAATAATAATAACCTCACACATCTCACACACGGCCAACTATGACCATGGTCTGATTACAAACTAGGCAAATTCTGTACTATGGTAACCAGACTGCTGATAAACATACTTACATATGTATTTCTAAATACATTCGTATTTTATATAAATTACACCCAGACCCAAAACAAATGACCGTGCTTATCAAACAATATTTGTCCTGGGTTTGAATCGACAGACTTCCACGGCTTAGCAGTCAGGGTCACTAACCACTAGAACAACAGGCCTGTCAAAAAGAATTGATTAACACCGGTTCTCTGTGAGGCTGTGGTATTACTCTGGCAGTGCCAGCCCGTTTGTACAGGAGCACGGCTCTCTCGAAACATGTGCGGTTTTCTTTAAACTGATCTCCTTGAAGCGTTCCAAGGCCGCGGTCATGCAAAACGCACGGATGGCGTAGTGGTTTAAGCGGTCGCCACGCCGCTTCCTACTGCGCTGAGTGTTGTGGGTTCAAACCCCACATGGGACGACACTTTGTGTGATTCACAAATTGTTGTTCTGAGTCTGGGTGTTCTTTGTGTCCGTTTCATGTATGTTTGTAAAGTCCCCCGCGACACAGGATATTTTCCTAATGCGGGAGTTGTCTTTAAAAAAAAAATACAACATTAAATACAATTTTTCATTGCGATAGTCAGTTGTAAGGCAGTTGGAATAAGGTAAGGTAAGGTAAGGTATAAAATTATATTATAATTATATTGAATTGAAAATTTATATTGAATTTTGGTATGAAATGATGCAGCAAGTGAATCCAGAGTGCTTCACAAATACAAGTAATGAATCGCTCGGTGATGACGGTACTAACAATTTGGTGTGTGGTGTAATTGAGAAAAAGTAGCGTTATAAACTTTAAAATTGATGTAAATAGTAATAAGACGACCGGGTGGCGTAGTGGTTTGTGTAACGGACTGCTATTCCAAAGTTTTTTTTGTAAATATATTAGTTTAATTATATATATTAGTATATATGTATTTATTACTATTTATATCAGTTGTCTAGTAGCTATAGTACAAGCTTTGCTTAGTTTGGGACTAGATGGCGTTGTGTGAATGTGGTGGAATATTATTATTATTATAAGCAAAGATAAACCACAACATAATAAGGATGGTTGTCAGAACTTCACCTATAAACTAAATGCATCTTTCGATGACATAACAAGACAAACGTTACACTCCGATCTACATTCACCTCTGACATGACCTGCTTAATTACCGGTATGACACCACGGACTCACAGAAATTTGCATTTAATTTGCATCTAGATATTTATTCTGAAACTAAAACGTGTGTTAAATTGATGGTATCAAAATTTTTACTAACCCTGGACTACGAACAAACGGAAAACTGGCTAAAAATAGAAAAATAGTAATACACATCTATACATACCTCATATTTTAACACACACTTATGCGCGTGCAAACACACACAATACACACACGCACGCTCACATAAACATACAGATACAACCACACACACATTTAAAAATAAATACTAGCACATTTTAAATTCAGTTACCCGTTTTGTCTCTTTTCTATTTTTTTTTTCTTTGTAATATTCTCTTAAATTTTAAGTGTCAACTTTGTACAGTTTATACATGTTTCGCGGATGGAAGCCCGGTTATCCATAACACAAGTATTTTACTTAGTTTGGAAACCGGTCTCCCATTATTGTGTTATGACAACATTGTATATCTGTTTATATTGTAATGAGGGAGAATTAAACATTATTATTATTATTATTATTTAAGCAAGTTTTCGTTGTCTTTCACCGCCCTCTCTGATTCTGGTAGGGGAAGCACCAAAAGGGCGCCAACGCACTTTTGTCTCATAAGTTGCATATTTCCGGGCGGTGGTAATGACTTACATGGAGACCCGTCTACTCGCTTGCCTTACAATAAAAAACCGCTACTAACAGACGAAACGCCACCCGTTACAGGTTATGCTTTGTGCCACAACACTTAGAAGTGGCCTTATCCTGAGTGGAGTGTTGAACTGAATGCAGAATGCAGGCCAACCACCGCGTGCCTATTGTGTTAGCTAATTTATTACTGTGCTTGCATATGTGAGAAGTAGGAGTTGAAGTGGTCATGCTGCAGCTAAGGAACGAACTGAGGATATTTTGAATCCTAACTACTAATATTATAAATCTAAAGGTAAGTCTTTCTGTCTGTGTGTCAAAGATTTCAGGGAAGCGAGAGCACAGATGTTACACGTAGATAAGGAAAATGATGATTAGCAGAAAATGTAAGTGCTTACAGCTGTGATGTCATCAGTACTACACGACTTACTGCAGGAAAATCGTAACGATTCTTACAGTACCATATAATTACATTGTAATTGACTTTGTGTAAATTTCCATTCGAAATTGGTTGGCAAAAACATTGAAAGACAATTATTTGTAAAAAACAAATTGAGTTCCTTAGAACGTAATACACTCGTATAAGGAAACAACCCTTAACGTTCCAGGATTTAATTTTTAGTTAGATGTACAGATACGGCGCAGGCTATCGACGAGGTTGATACTTCACACTTGATACAGGGTCCTCATCGGGTATCAAGCATCCTCGAAATATAAAAGTGAGTATTTTTTTTTTAGGATGGAGTACGCTTTTTTTAAACTTACCTCTACAGAGAGCTTTGACATATCGACAGGTGTGATCCGCTTGAGCGCCGACAGTCGCTGCAAGCGCTGCCGCGCCTGCTCCTCAACTGCAATGAGGAACGCATCCTGGATGATGTTGTGACCGATGTCTGATACTGTTGACAAAGAAAACAGCTGATGAATATTGTGTAACAGAAATAAAGAGTTAGACCTAAATGTACATTAAATAAGTAACTGAGCGAGAATCGATTGTACGACCCTTCATCTTCAACTGTAAGGTAATGGAATATTAAATGAAATTATTGTGAAGGCAACTTCAATTGTACCAGTTTAATACATCAAAGATTCAGGACTTCCATTTAACAATTTATGAACTTTTGCCGTGGGAGAGCCATGTGGCACGAATGGGCCGGCTCGACGGGAGTGATACCACGGCCTCACAGAAAACCGGTGTTAAGCAATTCTTTCGTTGCCTTTCACTGAGTGAGTGAGTTTACCGGAGCCTAAATCCAAGGGCAGCAACGCACTTGTGACTTTTGAGTTGCTAGTATCCATGGGCGGCGGTAGTTGCTTACCATCAGGTGACCCATCTGCTCGTTTGACCCCTTTTATAATAAAAAAAAATGAACACCGTTTTTTATACTTTATACATTCTCACAATGCCTAGTTTGAGATCAGACGATCTCAAACTAGGCAGGGCCTGTACTATGTTTACCAGACTGCCCATAAACATATATTGTAACATACTTGTATATTTTTAAACATATACATATTTTAGAGGAATCACACAGACATAGAACAATTATAATAAAATAATAATAATAATATTCTACCACATACACACAACGCCATCTAGTCCCAAACTAAGCAGAGCTTGTACTATGGGTACTAGACAACTGATATAAATACATATTTACTTATATTTTTTTTTGTAAATACATACATATTATACATAGAAACACCCAGACCAAATCAAACATCAAATGTTCATGCACACAAATGTTTGACTTGAGCGGGAATCGAACCCGCGACCTTTGGAATAGCAGTCCGTTACACAAACCACTACGCCATCCGGTCGTTAAATGTCCATTGATCGTGGTCATCACACAATTATTGTTCCTGGTGGGAATCGAACCTCTAGTTTAACAGTCAGGGTCGCTCACCACTAGACCAACAGGCCCTTTAATATATTAAATACATATCCTTATATAGTTTACGAAGAACTCAACTCAAGAACCTTGAATCTATTCGTGTACGACTTACTAATTACAATTGGTGGATATCTGTTGTGTCTTTGATGAACGCGTACAAAATAATCCAGCCATGATTGTTTAGGAATTGCTTAATCGTTTTGTAATAGGTACTACTAAACTGCTTATTTTTTTGCACCGTTTTCAGCTCAAATAAAATAATTGCATTGTAATGATGGTATTGAATATGGCAATGTTGCCAGCCTTCTGCGATGCGATGACACCCATGAATTATTTTTAGTCCAGATATATTTAATATTTTTATTGTATTACCGTTATAGTAATAATTATAATTGTTTCACATTCAGCATGTCTTGTAACACGAGTTGTATTATAGAACACTTGGCTGTACCCCGCCACGCTTAGCTGTGCCCCATTTTGTTTGCATTAATGAGAAGTGAGGGACAAAACTGAAGCCAAAAATAGATAGAAACATTCTTTGAAGCGGTTTGTATATCGTGTCAAAAGCTTAATCAGTGTAGGAATTTCAGAGTTTTTGAAGCGTACACAAACCAACATAACGTTTATATAAATATAGAACATAGATAAACAATTTTAAGTAAGACATATATTTGCAAGGCACATATTTCAAATCTACTATCCCTGATTAAGTAGTCCAATGCTCTCTAAAATACCAGATATTTATTTACAATGAGTACATTTTCTATATCAAGTTATAAGCAGCTCTGTTTCTGGCCGTGGTCACAAACTGACTGCCAGCACGCCACGACAAACGCAAGCTGGGCCTCAATTCTGCTATTACGCCAAGCCAGTGTCATACCACTGACACGCTATTGAGATGCCATCGAGTGGCCATTGGCATCGGTAAAAATATCGGTAGTTGAAAATATATTATGTTTTTTTGAGGAAATGTTTTTTTTTTTTTTATGTTAATATTTTTTTTTTTTTATAAGTTTTATATTTTAATTTTTCATAACTTATTTTAATTTATTTATTTCTTTTAATAATTCATTATAATAAAAATAAATAAATCATTTCCTCAAAAAACGTAATATATTTTCAAATAATAAGGAAATTATTTATTAATTTTAATATTTTTTTATTTTTATTTTATTTTAATTATTTTTTTATTACTTCTTTTTATAATTTTATTTTTTAAATTATTTATTTTTATTTATTTTTTCTTTTAATAATTTATTATAATAAAAATAAAAAAAATCATTTCATCTAAAAACGTAATATATTTTTAAGTACCGATATTTATACCGATGCCAATGGCCACTCGATGGCATCTCAATAGCGTGTCAGTGGTATGACACTGGCTTGTCGTAAACATAAAATAGCAGAATTGAGGCCCTGATCGAAACGTCTGATAAATTTAAAGCGATGTATGTACCTAATGTATAAAACGTGGTCGTATTAATTGAAGTACGTATATATAATTAAATATCCAGTAGTTGGCCTGCGTAACTTCGTCTGATTCTCTCAAAAGGAATAATTTTTTCCCGTTTTTGCAACAGTTTTCATTGATGCTAGGCCATTATTCATAGGGTGGTGTTAATGCCTTCCTGTTATTGAGGAAGGCTATATAACATGGGCTATTGGGCTATTGTAGTGCCTGAAATTAGCGCCTTCAACCAAACAAGCCAACAAACAATCAAAGATGTGATCCAAGGAGCGACATTCATACTGTTTCTAATTAATATTCCAATGGCAGTTGAGCGCGTCTGATGAGTCAGATCATTGTCATTTTTGAATAAATTACGACCAGATTAAACATTCCATGGGTAATAATACAAATTCAATAATATTTAACCACACGTGGCGATATGTTCGGTCAAGGTTTATCATTTAAAAAGACAACAAGACATCCCGTGTCGCGAAGGAACGCGCACAAGAATAGGAAGCGACACGAGGAGACCGTCCAAACCATTACGCTATTTGTGCACTACATTGATGAGGAATGAGGAACAAAGAACATAAGAACTCAAACGGGCACGTAGCTGAACTGGAGAAATCTATTGTCTGCCTACATGCTATCAGATCGGATTCAAATCACAAATTTATAGCTTTGTCAATCAAACTGTAGATATAATTTCGATACGACAATTAGAACTAGGTTAAAATTATTAATAATAATAAATTCACACGTCTCACACACCTGGGTGTGCATCAAACCCACGACCTCCGGCATAGCAGTCAGGATCACTCACCACTTGACCAACATGCCCGTCAAAACAAAAAACACGAGCAATAAACAAAAATCTTTTAGGTTAAATTTAATTTTTAGTTTTACGATTTTTTCTATTAGCTACCCGGACCTCCAATGTGGTCACGGTCATTTAGTGTCACTGAAGAGTTCACCTCTTCAATTCCACTTGGATAATAAAAATATACCTTCTTTCTAAGGAAAGACCTATGTCCAGCAGTGGACTATAAAAGGCTGTTCATGAATAAAAATATAATGACCCGATAACTACTGAAGAGACTTCCAGAAGTTTCTAACAAAAATGCCTTTTATGATAACTTTTCTACTCCGAGATATCACACACCCTCTTATTTGTTATGAACTTAAACAACTTAGAAACTAAACAAATAAACAACAACATAATACAACTGGATCACAGAACTTCTAAAAATCAAGTTTGATGAACTTGTACTTTATAACCATCATTATTATTTTTTACTGCAATTACTGAGAATTTATTTGTGGTCAGGATGAAACCTTTTCTAATACCAAGCATTCCAAAGGAAGTTAGCCTGACGCCAACGTAATCCTTTTTAGATGACATATTTGGTTGAGTTCTTTTATGGCTAGTCGCCGGCCAGGCCCTTGAAAACATAACCGTCATTGACAAAGGAAGAAGGCTAACTAACGCATCGGTTGAAGTATCGGGTGAAGGAGCTAGGATAATTTCCGATACAGAAAATTTTGGATGGACACCAGCAAGTTCAATCTGTATGTCTACATGTCTGAGGTCAATTATCTGTATGTCTTTCCTGTGATCGGAAACGGAACTAGAACAGGGATATCAAATACTTGGTAGTGTTTTTTCTTCTGTATAGAATGCAAACTGGTCACCTGATGGTAAGTGAATACCGACGGCCATAGACACTTGAGACTCAAGCGACACTAGTGCGTTACCGCCTTTTGGGTGTAAGAAACTACATAAATTTTATAGTGCTGTACTAGAGGGGTGAATTACCCTTAACCCTTTTAGAAAGAGTGAGCAGGCCTGAAAGAATTCGAGCATCACCGAACTACACACGTGAGTAAACCGCAAAAAAATCAAGAAGGTTTGATTCTAATCTTCCCTTTATTACCAGTAACGAAAATAAAATTAAAATTAGTGTGTGCCACAAAACCTATTAAGAATAACGGCAGTTAGACATGTACAGCGCCATCTGCGACTTTTTAACGCTGACAACACCGACAATAGAATTAAACGATGAGTTTAGATGAGTTTAATTAAATACTTCATTCCGTATTCCTCAATGCCTCATTTCATGGCTTAAAGAATGTTAATCCATACTAATATTATAAATACGAAAGTATGTCTGTGTGTCTGTCTGTCTGGTACCTCTTCACTCTTAAACCGTTGAATTGATTTAGATCGGAGATGGTTTGTATCAGTCGGGCGCCGGAGGTCGCTGAACGACCTCCGTCCTCCATAGGCCTGGGGGTGACAGGTGAGGACATCTGTCACCCTAGCAGGAGGCCGGGGTGGCGGCGAGACGGGCTGCGGAGGGCACGCGCAAGAAAACATGGGGGTTCCCACACAGGAGGGGGTTATCTACCCACCGTAGATGCCCCGAGGTACGATACGGGAGGAATAGGGGTGGTCACCGCACGGTCACGGAAAATATTGTTAGAAAAGCTTAAGCAAGATATCTCTTTATAATACTTCACTATTTATTTCATTAGATTTATATTACTATCAGAAATTGTATATATCACTGCGTATCGATCACCAGTCCTCAAGACCTCACCTATGATACACTTTCAAATTGTTATTGTCGTGACTAGCGCTGTAGACAGAGCAAAAATATAACCTCAATTGTTTAATTAAATACAATTGACTATTCGTAACCATCTGCGACATATTCCAGCGGTAATTACGACTATTTCATGGTTTCGAAAATTGTGAGTTTAAGGCGACTCATCGAAGTAACATTTTGATTTACGTCTACAAAATGATGTGCCAATGTTATAAAGGCATAACTAAAGACAAAATTCCATATTTAAAGTACATCCATTCCACGTTACATTTTTTTTTCTAGTTTAATAGAATTTACACCAATATTTGAAGCCAATTACTACATCAAAATTATAATTAAAAATCGGCTGTCTGTAAAGTCGGTTTACTGACGATAGTTGAACGTGACAACGTCATAAGACACCACATTCACTTTTCACTGCACTTCATACTTGACGAAAACATGTAAATGTATTATTGTATAGCAGCTGTCCACGCGGACGCATCGCTCACTCAAGTAGGAGAGAGACAGATGTCGAACGCTCCCGAACGCGGAGGCCGATTGTGCCTCTTTGTCGCTCGTTCCGCGCTCTCGCTTGCACTTCAAGCCTTAAATGGAACGCCTCAGAGCGAGGTAACGCCGCATGAGTCATGTTTTTTTGTGCGTGCAGCCGGCTCCATCGAATTATAAGACGTTGTCACGTCAAAAACGTTAACTTAATAGTTGACGGTACTAGACCAACGCCAGCTCTATGTGATACGTGTTACTGTTTCAGAGCTTCTACTCGTACATTCAAGAGGTTAAATTAAATCCTCTCGATTTATTCGGGATTTCTGTTTCTCAACTTCTTGCATTTCTATGATTACTACATAATGTTTTCTCTTTTTCCACGTACAAAAACACACTTGCCATAACCCCGTGTCCATAATTCAGAAATAAAATTTTACAAGGCACAGAATGGGCGCCGAAATGCCGAAACATTTCCTTGCAAACCGCGCTAGATCTCTGCTCCAAGACATTCACTTGCGACACATTTTTCTTTTTTATGACCTTATTCGCGTAGTACTTTCTGGCATTTCCTGTGGAGTATAGTTAATGGGTGTATCTTTCTGAGGCCTTGTGGCCTATTGCTGGCT